ACAGTTTAGGCACTGCCATTCTAACCTGGTATGAAGCTATTCACTTTCAAAACTATGATTTACAAAATGTGGAATATTCGCACAAATCCAACTAGTTATAAATTATTGTTGTAGCTGCAATATTATGTCAGTAGTTTAATGTGTCATCGCCGAAGTTGTAAATTGTTTTAAATGTATTTTCATTTGTTGAAAATGTCTTTCATACTTCATTTCTTTCATGGCTAGCTTTGATCAAATATATTCTAAAAAAACCCATTAAGCGGGGCATTCTCCTTAACATTCTTGAATTGGCCATGCTCGTGGTTGTGGTGAGAGGGGCGTATGGGGGTGAGCCACCATAATGGAAACAAGATACATGCTCCTGACTGAGCCCCAATAATAACAGGGACATAAAAGTACTTGATATGCATTTTGAAAAAAATTGACATTTACTTTCTGTATCTTCAGAACTTTATTATTTAATTAATACTGCAGTGAAAGTATCGAAGAATCCAACTATTCATATTAGTTTCTCAAAGAGAATTTGTTGGAATTTTTTTCAATATTACAAATCATTTACAGCGTTAATTGTTAACCACAATTGAGATACCCATATTAAATTATGACAAAAATACAATAAGAGAAAAAATTATTGGTAAATCAAGGTAGTCTTTTTATTTTCCTAAAATCATTTACCTAGACGATGTCTTTCCCGTGATGCTTTAATTTTTTCTGGGACATCGAGAAGTAGATGCACGATTTAAAGAAATTCTGTTTTAAAGAGCTATCTTTTTCTTATTACTATTTGCGCTAGTGATACGTCTAAAAACATGAGATAACGAGAAATAATTATTTTGCATATGAGACTAATACTTTGCTTTCAGCAATTGAAATACTTTAGTGCCAAATTTAACTATATTACACGATATTTATTTATTTACTTAAAGGTTCTTATGTATAAAATACTTTTGCTGTACCCCATTGTTTCCAAATACATCAACTTACTCGTAGAAATCTACCCATAATATCGTTATCTATTGAAGGAACTTTTCCACCTAGGTGTGTTTCGGTCTTCCGCTCTTCCTTTTACCATTAGGATACCACTCAAAAACTTTTTTCGGTAGCCTATTATCTTGCATTTATGCATTTATTTTTTCATCTTGCATTTTTAATATGTCCAAACCAGGTTAATTGCATATGTTTCTCAACAAAAACTTCTATTCTTGTGTTGACAGTATTTATTTGAAAGGCGTAAAATATAATTTTAGTGAATTGTTTTCTCCGTATTTCAACGAGTAATTTTTCATTTACAAATATGTTTTCCCGACTGCAAGAGTTATGACTGTTTAACGACTCGACATTATGACTTTCGTACAAGAATCCGTGGTGAAATTTGTCATTTGTGCTTGTACATTAAATTCATCGCGAAGTCAGGTGCTGTTGCTCGGAGGTGAATCTTTGAAGCCGCCGGCTGCATTCGAGATGGGGCTGGAGGCGAAGGCGCCATAAAGCCACGAGCGGCAGCCGACGGTGCATTGAAGGCGCGGCGCGTAACGTTCGGTAAGTGCACACAAAGAACGGCAGGCGGCAGCAGCGGCGGCGGCGGCGACGACACAGCGCGTCGCGGAAAGCGGAGCTCGTTGCAAAATTCAATTTGCCCTACCTTTGCAGCCGCTCCACATTTAATCCTACTTAATCAAATCAGACTCCAGTCGACTTTTGTTTCGATAGCAAACTACTATCGCTACAGCGTCCGCGTGCGTCCCTTTGTGAGGGTGGCGGCGCCGGCCGTCCCGCTGGGCGGACAAAGGCGCGGGCGGGGTGGGAGGGGAGGGGAGAAAGGGACACCTGCGACCCCCTCCCCCAGGCACCGCTCGCGCGCTCTCCCACCGCTTGCACCGGCTGCGTTGGCTCAGAGCCAGCGGTGCCGTTGTCTCTGCAGCCACTCTGGCCGAGAGGTCCTAAGGTTTGAGATCCGGTGGGAGCTGGTTTTTCACAACTGGTAAACAGCTCGTTCTCATTCAGCCACTGTGAGGAGGAGAAGCAAACTGGCTACGGACCAGAATCTTTCCGTTATCTTCCTTGTCATATCCGATCCCCTTTCTCATATACATTTGTGTAGGATATGTAGGTGGAGGAATGGCACAGCTCTCACTTAATCATTTCTCTAGTTATTCCTCAACTTTCAAGAGCTATATAGGTCTGTTGTTGATTCTAGCTTAGTTATTTTTGAAATATCAGGGAGATTTTGCACGACAAAACTTTAAGCAATCAACAGTAATATCGTTATTCTGTGCATCCACAGTTCCAATTTTGCATAACTCTTGTGTATTTGCCCATGTGAAGAAGTTCGAGATTGCAGATGAGTTTGCACACTATGCCGTGAAAAAAACTCCCTAATAAAACTGAAAATAACTCGACTAATGTAAACATTGAATGTGAGATAGTGTCGTATGGGTCAGTCTGCGTAGGTATTGAGCAGTGGGCACTCCATCGACCGACGACGTATTTTTGTGTTACCAAATTCATCCACTAAACTATTGTAGTGTAAATAGTTTATCACTGTGCTATTAAAACATAATTCTGCTCCGTACTTTAATTTGAATGTTAGCGAAATTAACTGCTCTAAAGCTCAATTTGGCGTAGTTAGAGGTAACTGACGAAGAGGTGATTGGAATATTGCAGTTTACATTGCTTTGTACTATTTTGAAGTGCTTATGAACACTTTTCTGTGTGTCTTTTCCTACAAGACTAGAAGTAACACGTTTGAAAGCATTGGTTACACTAGAAGTTTTAGTGATATAGTATTTCCTTTACTTTACACAACAAAACTATAGAAAAATATCGGATATCACAAGGTTCCTGTCGATCAGTGAACTTCTTGTAATATTACTAGTTCATACTAAATTGTTTACGCTAGAAGATAAAATTTTTTCGTTTTTCTGCACCAGCAATTTCTTTCTTTCAAACGTTTCTGATGAAAATTAACATAAATGTAGTCAAGTAGAATCATTTAAAATGTTGATATTAACGATAAAGCATAATAATAAATTTTACAAGTACATAGATAATCACTCATTTCAACATAAGGCTATACAATGAAAAAAGCTGAAAATGTGTGAATATTTCTTCCTTAAGGTCCAATTAAGAAGTTGCATTTCTAAATGAGCGATGCACTCAACCTCGATTTAGGGTATGTGGTGAATGAACTTAACCTAGAGGATTATTAGAGGATCTACTTCACTGAATTCCTTTGGCATGCGGTCACAATGAAAGTCTTTCTTCTTTTACCATCAAATTTGACGTAAATGAACCTTGATGTCATTAAAAATTTGTATTCTTATTTAAGTTGGATCCCTTTTAGTAGTATCGTTTCATGTAATGTTTAGCATTTTCAACGATGTTATCATTATATTGGGCGAAAATGCCCAAGTGTTAAATCTTGGAGGTCAAACTGACTGTTCATAAAATCAAGTAGTGGCGTGTCATTAGATGATCCCATGTGGTAACATTGTATATTAAAACATACTATCTTAAAGTAGAGAATATTTTATAGTTCACACAGCCATCAGAATTCATTGAAACCGCTTTCGTAGAAATAGCTTTTTTTTCCCTTTCGGGGACTTTTTCCAGCTTCAGGGAATGCTGATTTCTACTATCCGTGCCAGGTTCCCTCTATGTCTCTCTTGGGTACATATACTAACCATTACACTAAACGCTAATACATTTGCGAGCTCCTCGGTCTGTGGTCAGCGGACTCACAATGACTTCCTTGACAACAAACATACATGAAAAGCAAGGGAAATTAACCATGCCCATTGCGAGACTCGAACCCGTAGCCTTTTTCGACCTAGGCGTTAAGTCGGCACACGCTCTAGACGTTTGTGGAAATAACTAATCACAATTAATTACCAATTTACGTTTCTTGGCCATCAAGTCAAAGGAAACCAAATTACATTTTAGTCAGCGTAGATATACCCATTAAAAGCTTCATTACAACGCTACATCGTCCGATGTGTTCGATTGCCACAGCGCACTTACTTCCCATCCCGCCCGCTCCCTCGTCGCCAGTTTTCTTCTCCCAGCCTCCAGCAGCGGTCCCCGCTGCGCCGGCCCCGGCGTTACACCGCCGCCCTCCGGGGCCGGTGCGAAGACGGGACGTTGAAATTCTTGCCGGGGCGCCTCCCCGTTTGTCGGGCCGCCATAAGACGGCGCATGGCCGCCCCCGCTCGTAAACTTTGATGGCGCCGCGCGTGAAGAGGCTAACAATGGACGAGCGGCGCCTGCCCCTCGCTCTCCGAGCGGCGGGGCGGGCGGGAAGCCCGCCTTCAATGCCCGGCCAGCGACGCAAGGCTGGACGTGGGGCGAAGTCCCCGGACGTGTCTGCTGCTGGCAGGCGCGCCCCTGAAATTGTAGAGGGGAATCTAAATGATTGATTGATTGGTTGTTAGTGATTCTGGGTGCGTCAACGGTTAAGGTCGTTAGTCCCGTAAGTGTAGTGCGTCGTTTTCCTTGGGAGATGGCTGTGCTCTTCCCCCGCTAGATTGCGAGACCCGCCGCCGACCTACCCGTTGGCTAGCGGGATTTCTCCCACTTGCGGAGTGCAGCCCAGCCTGGGATAGCTCTAGGCTCCTGACCGGTCTCCCGGCATGTGTAGTAGTGTAAAGCATGTTAAGTGTTAAGTGTGCGTTAGTAAGGTGTGAGGATAAGACGGGGAGTGGGAAGCAAAGATCGCGAATGGTATGTGGTCCGTTTATTAGGGTATTGCTCCGGTATTCATCTGGTACTGATCAGTGATACTACAGAAATCTACCGATCAGAGCAACTGGCTGCTAGAAATCTAAATGAAAAAAAAATGGACATTCCCTAGTTTCGATTTTCGTGTTTTAGGAATAGTTGATCGAAGACACTTTGTAACGATGTAGGTGTATTTCGCTTGCAATAGTTTTTTTTTGTATACTGATGAATCTTTCCACATTCTTTTCAAATATCGACTATTCACTAATATTTTCTGTTTTCAGGTTTCGTCGTATCAAGGCGTGTCAAAACAGAAATTGATAAAAAAGCTTTCCTGATAAAGAAGTGTGTCGTGCTAACAAGGAAAACCCATTGGTAAGTGAAATTCTCTTTTTTTGTCTTGTCAGTATCTTCCCAATATCTTATTTATCAACAATTATATTCAAATATTACGAAATATATTGATCTAAAATATTCTCCATATCTTGAAATGTTAATGAACGAATGCGGTGCATACTAACAATTAATGAAACATGTTTCAACATAAAATAAGATATTTATACTATAGACTAGCAAAAATACCTCGTGTTGATACCCCGTGATGATAGTGAAACGAAAAACTCGAAATTATATTGAAGTTAATTAATGAATTACATTTACATTACATTACATTTAGAAATAAAATTACGTAATCAACTTTTCTTTGTCCAATGCATTTATCACGAAGCGCCAAGGAGATAGCATTTAATATCGGGCCATATTCCGCAGACGAGGTGTAATTTGCTTCTGGTGACAGAAGCATAATGTCTGGATAACCAACTTTGACACTAACAATGCGTTCGCCGAGTAGTAGAGCTGTAGCGCCAGAAATGAATGAAGCCCTGTTGATAGTTCTGCCGGCCCAATAGGCGTGAGGGTTCTATTTGTGAATTAATTTATTAAATTGTGTAAAGATTCATGAATTCCTATTCTAATGCTCTTCGATTAATGAAGAAAAAATATGTGGAATTTCACACCCTGAATGCAATAGTAACGGAGAAAAGCTCGAAGTCAAATCCAAAGCAATTTTTTATTTATATAATAGATTAGATGATTGAAGGCTGGTTCATGGGGCTTGGCCATTGAAAAAGAATTACACTGTATAGTTGTTTGCCAACGCTTCGTGAAATATATTTATATCATCAGTACTACAATTTACTATTACCGGAATTACGATGGTTTCTACACATACACACTGATAGACAATTTGTTCCCTCCTCCTAACATTTCCTGTACAAATGTTCTTCAAATCACGCGTAGCACCTGTAACACTACGTAGGTCTAATTTTACAGATATTGTATGAGAGAGTATAGGTGTAAGTCTATATCTAAAAAATTAAACGTCTATAAAAACTTCCAATTAAATTTGATTTTCTTATAATAAAATATACGAATGCCTATCCTCTATCTCGTAATCTTGAATAAGAAGAAAATGATTTAAGTACCATTTTAACAATCCATTATTATGAGCGCATTTTATGTTAGGTAGGATATTCCTTCTCGTGAATAATTTTCTAGAGATATCAGAGGAAAATCCTTAGAAATTCTAAGAATTTTTAATATAAGTTGTCAATCTCGTAAACCAATTTGGCCTGAGGTACGAATATTAAAAGATGTGATGTGGGAGTTCATGAAAAATCTTATAATTTGGGAATTATCCCCCCTATAATCTTGTGTTACTTTCACAGACTCAGTTGGTACCTTCTTTTCTAATCCTCCTAATTATTTTTGATTCTCTCAGTCTAAGGTCCCTCATTTTTTTTCTTCTTTCACTCAGCTATATTAGTTCTTTTGTGAAGAGGTATTTTTATGAGAACTTTACACAAGAACGGAAGTGAGGCATTTCTATTACTCTCCTTTCCGATTTTTTCGATATCTCGTGCAGATGGAGAAGAGTATTGACGAGAGTACTTTCGTGTATGCATTGTGATTGACAGTCAATCTAATTTCGAGCACGAAAAGTGCTTTCATTTGATTTATTTAATTTACGAGGACTTTTTTAAAGACTAACAAGAATTGAGGAAAATCCCTTGGAAATAGAATTTTAAAATATATTGACATGAAATGCATAATGAACATTTTTGGTCATACTGTGAAACCAGCCGTAAGTGATCACGAATGGTTCGGGCGAAAATTGTCCGTTTACAGAGGTGGCCTCTTAATTAAAGTTATGAGTTTACGGGCAGCATGTATGAGATCTATATTAGGTCTAATTCTTATAAAATATTTACTCTTTCAAATTGAATAACTTACATTACTCAAATTAACACACAAACAAATCTACTTATTCACATAATTTTATTCGCATTTTCACAAAAAAGAAGGATGTTTGATTTTCAAGTTTACAAACCTTTTTATTAACGTATGTTTCTATATTACTGAACGTTTGTTGAATTTTGACGAAATTGCAAAGTATGATATAGTGGATGAATATGCGAAACATAGTCGCTGCATTTTTCAGAGAATAGTAAATCCCCGCCTTCAAAGACAACAAAGATTTACTATCATCTCTGTCTCTTTTTTGTCTCTTCGGATATAATTGCCCACCACAATCTAACTATAGCTTATTTCTCACTCACGACCAAAATTATGAAATTCAGCTGTCTGCTCACGACATCTTGCAGTTCAGCTTCGCTATGAGAAGCATTCCTTGACGAGCTGCCTGCTGAGTCTGGTTGTGCCGTCGACACCATGCAGTCTGTGTCCACGAATTGTGTGTGGTGTATTCTTTAACAGCATTAAAATACATTCAGTAACGGCTACGCGAACATTTAGTTGTTTTTTATTAAATTGGACATATCTTCGGCATCATCTATCTGTGAAACTTGCCATTTTAATATTCTCTCTGTAATGCCGCCCAAATGCCTTGAGGACGCCCTGATCCAGAGGTTGGTGCTGTGTAGTTGTGTTACGAGGAAGGTACAACAATATGAACTTGTGAAGTTGGATTTGAAGATGACAGGTTGCGTCAGCAAGAAGATTCGCCAGGCGGTGTAGTTCACAACCTTTAGATACTTACTACGTGTTCTGCGGGTTGCGGAATGGGCAAATGGAACGCATTATTTCATTAAGTGACACCTAATAAAATACTCCATTTTGTCTGAAGCCGAATTTGTTCCCCCTTGTGAAATGCGAGATTCTAGGCTCTCTGTTCTTAGTAATCTTATTAAACGTCACGTCGCGACACGATACTCAGGAATGATTTCTACTACTCTTCCGCTTCTTGTTCTCATACGTTTCAAAATCGCTAGTAGTAACCGCTGTAGGCTGGTAAACCGACGAAATGTACCTGATCGCCTTTCTTATGAACTGTTTATCGCTTAGAAGGGGGAATATGTACACGTCTTGTAAAATATTCAATATGCTTTCAGAAAAACAATGGGCGTCATGGACGGTTACAGCTTAATAGAAGTGTCCGTTTGAACAAGTTTCACTATGGAACATTATTGGTTTCTGCTGGAATATTTCGATGTGCAGTTTAAAGGAAATTGATAAATCTATGATTTAATCTAACAATATTTTTTTAAATACAGTACTTCTTTCACAAATCCTTAATGTTATGAAAATGCATACGTTTAGGATACTACACTATTAAAACATTAAAAATCTTGCAAAGAGCAGTTTATAGTTATCCTTATCGAAATATATTCGTACTAGCGTGCCCGTGCGAGAACTCTTGCATGCTCAACTTCACTCTCTTTCTTATCCTTTCATTTTCATAATAAAATGGAAAGTTGTCAACGAAACGTGTTTATTTGTATAAATAATGTATAAAGATAACTTCCCATGTACTTTGAGAATATCAAATAAAAATTAGAAACCAAGCAAATGATATTTGAAGCAAATTTTCAATAAATATTTATTCAGTATTATAGTGAGACATTCTTGGAACGATTCACAAAGCGGAATTAAAACAATATTTGAAGTAATTAAACAATTACATTAGCTTTTCGCTTTTTTTACTACACTCTTCTTTACGAACAATCTTCTTACAATTACGATTCAATATAATATTCTGTAAGTAATTAATTTAAACTACCACACGCTTATTAACCTTATACATTTATTCGTTAGATATTAATTCAGTGCCATTTGAGCTCTGAGTGCTCAAAATATTATCAGTCGCCTGTGTACTCTGTGCAAGTTTGCAGCGACTGATCCTTCCGTCGCAGAACTGCGTTGGTGTGTGCGTGGAAAGTCACGTGACTTCCCTCCATTACGCCTTCTCCTCCTCATCCTCTTCTTAATATTTACGAGCCCCCCTCCGCACCTCGCCCTCCACCTCCTCCCCTCCGCCCCTCTCGTTTCTCTTTCTGCTCTTCCTCCTGATTCTCCCCTTCTCCCTCCTCCCTCACTCTCCGTCTCCCTCTCTCTCTCTCTCTCTCTCTCTCTCTCTCTCTCTCTCTCTCTCTCTCTCTCTCTCTCCGTGGGGCGTATGGCCGCGAGGCTCTTCGCCAAACTTCAGGGGCCGCACGACGGGAATTGACTGGCGTTTGCAGAGTCGCGATTCCGACTTCCAAAGAACAACAGAAGCCACTAAGGCCCGCCCGCCGGGGCCGGAGTTCGCACTGCCGCCGCCAGGGCGTGCTAATGAATCGGGCCGGAGCGACGGATCACTTGTGGCCCTGAGGGACGGAGTCGCTCAGTTGCCCGGACGCCAGAGGGCGCCGCGAGCGATTAAAAAAAAACCTTATAACAAAGGAGGAGAAAGTAAAATAACTATCGATTTGAACATTAAATACATTTGAGGCTTCTACTTGTGAAGTAATTTTCACAGAAGGAAAAGTTATTTTGTGTATATGTTCATTAAGAAATAAATCACGATGTGAATAAAAACCGTAAAAATTGAGAATACAACTTTATAACACTCTCTTTAACTCTTGTCTTCCTAACTTAGTATTTTACTTTGATAGATGTAATTCTTCAAAAAGGCATATAAGTTCTTTTCGCAGAAAAGAGAACACTTCTTTTTTAAAAGCATATGCCACGAGCTGTGACAGTTAAGACATACCTCTTAAGACGCAATAGAGAAGAACAGAGAGAGAGAGCGACATATAGGACATGGATACAGTATATACTTAAAATATAATCTTATTGAAATTATCGTGTCCGATAAAATATTATAATATATAAAATATTAAAAATATATAATAAATCAAAAACACTGTCAAATGTTTCATTACGTACAAGTAAAACTTCACAAACTTTAAATTCTTCCAATAGACATGAAATGAAGCTTATTTTTGTATCTTTTATTTGCTTTCTGTGCCTTGAAAGTCATTTTTGCCTGGCGCGGGAACCCATTTCATGCTTTAATTACGAGTGAGACTGCCATT